AAACAGCTCTGCAGTACAGGCGTCAATCACAAAGTGCGGGTAAAATATCCCAGCATAGACCGACGACGAATCTCGAGTGAAATGTAGAAGACCCAATTATTGTATGTGCGCAAAGAGTTGGTGCGCATGCGTGCCGGACGAATAGCCAAAATGTAATGAAATCCGGTACCGAAATAAGACCGAAAGCAAGGAAGACAAATGTAAGAAAACAACCTTAACAGAAACCATTATAACCTACTGTAGTTTTCAGCGGAAGGATCCGGTCGTTCGCCTAGAGGTTCCCCCCTGTAGCCGGGTCCGTTCGTGTACATGAGCGTCGTGAAGGGGAGGCCGTCCACGTCAGAGAAGTCTCCGAGACCTGACGAAGGAGAGGGAGAAAAAAAAGGACAAAAAATGAGTGAGGGTGGGTGAAGAGGAGGGCGGGGGGGGGGGGGCTACTGAGTGTAAGGTAAAGTTTAATAATAATAATGATAATAGAAATAATATTAATGATATCAATAATAGTAATGACAACCTTTATGATAATAACAATATAAAATAATGATGATAACAATGATGATTATGATGATCAATCAATACTTTAGATAATGAAACAGAAAAAAAAGAAAATTACACATGAAAAAAACAACATGATTTAGGGAATCACTAATTCGTGGCTGCCGCAGTGGGAATCTGGCGGCTGTATTGCTCGCGTCCATGTAAATTGTAAGTCAAGGCCACCTGTTTATGTTCTCCTGTTGCTCCTCTGCTGTGACTCAAATTCCTTCGAGGGATTATGCACTTAGGCTCATTTATCTCGTATTTCTTGCTCCTTCTACGTTACGTTGTTGACTGACAGTTTGGGTGCTGGTTCTGTTTGTGTGTTAATACTTTCTTTTCTGTTTGTTCGTCTCTACTTCCTGTAATGTCGGTCTGTTTTCATTCTGTGTCTGGCTATCTGTCTGTTTGCTTGTGTGTGTGTCTGTCTGTCTATCTCTCTATCTATCTGTCTGTCTGTCTGTCTCTATCTATCTATCTATCTATCTATCTATCTATCTATCTATCTATCTATCTATCTATCTATCTATCTATCTATATATATATATATATATATATAGAGAGAGAGAGAGAGAGAGAGATATAGATATAGATATAGATATATATATTTATTTATTTATTTATCTGCCTATCAATCTCTCAGTATTTTTTATCAACACATAAACCTGTCTCTCTGTCCAGTGTTTCTAAATCTATCTACCGTCGTCTCTCATCGATCTATTTCCGTCTCCCTCTCCCTCTCTCTCCTTCTCTTCTCCTCCTTCCCCCGCCGCTCTTACCGCGCACGTCTGTTCCTCTCTCAGGGTAGCCATTGATGACGAGAGGTTGCGAATGGTCAGCGGTGACGATGATCAGCGTTTCCTCGGGATCAGTCATGGAGTCAGCCAGAGCAATAGCCTTCTCAAATTCCAGTGCTTCTTCCAGAGCAGAACGGTGCTCGTTCAAGTGGTGAGCCTTGTCAATGTTTCCTCCTGAAGGATCAGAGAGCTTTTCATTGGTGATTATATATAATAAATTATATATTTATATATAACGAAGTTATACCTATATAGACTTGGTTTTCTATGAAGACCGATTTCTTGTAGATACTAATAAGGGTACACTAATCGAAATTTGTCAGTTCAAATACTCATATAGATGTAGTTAAAATTAATTGCTCTCAAAAATGCGAATACATTGTTGAGATTACGTGTACACGCCATAAGTTATTTCAAAAGAAATTTAATGCAACGGGGCAGAAAACCACTTGATATGCCTACCCTCGACGAAAAGGAAGAACCCATTGTCGTCCCTCTGCAGGACCTCGATGGCAGCGCGAGTCATCTCCTCCAGGGAAGGATTGCTCGTGTCCTGGTCAATGGCGAATGACATGTGGCTCCAGTCGAAGAGGCCTGGGAAGGCATAAGGGGAGATTTAGGACAAATGTGTTAGAGAGATTTAAGGTGCGGAAAATCTTTGCAAAGGTATTTTGATAATGTATTTTGTGGGTTTGAATCATGGGATCGATATACCTTCTAACAGTCATTTGCTTGGAAAATACAATTTACGTGGACTTACCCATAAGGTAATCGGTGTTGGCAGTGTCCACCTGTAGAAGGTCGTTGCGGTGCCACACATACGAGGCATTGCCAAGGACCTGCTTTTGGTCGATCCACGATTGGATGAGGTTCTTGCCGTCGTCGCGCTTGCCTCCGTCGCCGCCCTCGGGGTCGTCCACGCCCTTCGGAGTGAGCTTTTTGCGCCCTCCACCGAGGATGACCTGAGGAGGATGGCGTTCGGTTTGGGCAATGATCTCTCTCTCTCTCTCTCTCTCTCTCTCTCTCTCTCTCTCTCTCTCTCTCTCTCTCTCTCTCTCTCTCTCTCTCTCTCTCTCTCTCTCTCTCTCTCTCTCTCTTTCTCTCGTCCATCCCTCTCTCTGTTTCCCTTCCTCCCTCCCTCTCCCTCTCCCTGCCTCCCTCCCTCCTTTTCCCTTTCCCTCTCCCTCCCTCTCCCTCTCCTCTCCTTGCCTCACCCCTCTCTCTCCCTCTCCCTGTCTCCCTCCCTCCCTCTCCCTCTACCTCTCTCTGCTTCCCCCTCTCTCTCCCTCTCCCTGCCTCCCCTTCTCTCTCCTTCTCCCTCCTCTCCCTCTACCTCTCTCTGCCTCCCCCTCTCCCTGCCTCCCCCTCTCTCTCCTTCTCCCTCCCTCTCCCTGTCTCGTTCTCTCCTTCTCCCTACCTCCCCCTCCTTCTCCCTCTCCCTTCCTATCTCTCCCTGTCTCCCTCCATCTCCCTCTCCTTGCCTCCCCTTCTCTCTCCCTCTCCCTCCCCCCTCTTTCTCCCTCTCCCTCCCGCTCCCTCCCCCCTCTCCCTCACTATCCCTGTCTCCCTCTCCCTTTCTCTCTCCATCTCCATCTGCCTCTCTCTCTCTCTCTCTCTCTCTCTCTCTCACTATCGCTGTCTCCCTCTCTCTCTCCTTTTCCCTGTCTCCCTCTCTCTCCCTCTCCTTGCCTCCATCTCTCTCTTCCTCTCCCTGTTCTCCCTCTCTCTCTCACTCTCCCTGCCTCTCCCTCTCTCTCTCCCTCTCCCTCTCTTTCTCACTCTCCCTGTCTCCCTCTCTCTCTCTCCACCTCTCTCTTCTTCCCTGTCCCTGTCTCCACTTCTCTCCCTCTCTCTGCCTCCCCTCTCTCTCTCCGTCACCCATCTCCCTCTCTCGCTTTCATTCTCCCTCTCCCTGTCTCCCCCTCTCTCTCCCTCTTTCTGTGTGTCTCTCTCCCTCTCTCTGTCTCTGTCTATCTGTCTGTCTCTGTCTGTCTCTCTCTCTCTCTCTCTCTCTCTCTCTCTCTCTCTCTCTCTCTCTCTCTCTCTCTCTCTCTCTCTCTCTCTCTCTCTCTCTCTCTCTCCCTCCCTCCCTGTCTCCCCCTCTCTCCCTCTCCCTGTGTGTGTTTCTCCCCTCACCTTAATCTTGGATCCCGTAGGACCGTAGACCAGCTGTTCGGCGATGTCGTCACATTTCTCGGGGTCGCCATTAACATCGTTGATATCGTCGTCGCTTTCCCAGTGCCTGAGGAATGATTACTCTTTAGACAATGTTTTTTTTCTCTTTCTTTTTTGATTGCCCTTTTTTCTTCTTTCATAAATTAGTCGTCAACACTGGGTAGAATATGTTCCTTGTTTGTTTTGTCGTTATGCGCTTTGTTTTTTTTTAATGTTTTTGTTGTCTAGTTTTGATGCTTAGAAAAATAGAAAAAAACAACAGATCACGCGAGGAACAGAGAGAGTTTTTAAAACAGTAGTAGTAGGAAATTTTCCGTTTTGTTTTCCTTTAAATTTGAAACCTTCAGAAATAACGCATTCTCAAATTACTTGGTTGCTATGGAAACGTTGGGATACCAATGTTAGATTGCCTTTAATACATTAACGTAACATTTTGAAATCTCCGAGAACTTGAGAAATACTTTAATATGAACTAATTTTACATAAAGAATTATACCTTCAGAATTTAAGGTAATCTTCCAATAGATACTATTTTTCAAAATCTTATAGAAATTATTTTAATACAAATCGATTCATTGGAATTAATATTAAGTACCGTAAAACAACAAGAACAATAAATTGATATCTTCAAAAAAACAAAAATTAAACAAATTGCCTTCCAATGAATACTAGCTACCCTGAAACAACAACAGAATAGTATCTTCAAAAGCGGAAATATATACGCTTACCTTTCAGCAGTGTGGGCATAGTTTCCTGCAGGAGAAGCGTGGGTTACGCGGGTTACTGTCACGATTCCTGTAGATTTTCCGGCATCCTGGGGGCGAGGGCGTTGGGTCAGGTTAGGTCAGTGTGAAAAGCTTCATTGTTTGGGCTTAGGATGAGCATTAAGTGTCAGTATGCTTCATCTCATCTCTGAATGATATTTAATGGGAGATACAACGATATGCATGTTATATGAATTTATGATATTTAAGTGTTGTAATCTGTTGATTCTATCCGTGATTAACAATTATTAGTATAGTATGTAGCTGATTCTCTCTCTCTCTCTCTTCTCTCTCTCTCTCTCTCTCTCTCTCTCTCTCTCTCTCTCTCTCTATATATATATATATATATATATATATATATATATTATATATATATATATATATATATATATATATATACATATATATATAAATACATACACACACACATATATATATATTTCTTTTTTTCTTGCTTGCTCCCTCAGTTTTGTCTCCCAGCTCTGTGTCTCTGTCAGGCTATCTCTCTCTCTCTCCTCCCCCTCTTTCCCTCCCTCTCCCTCCCTGGAAAGAGAAGGAGACTCCCTCTTTCTATTACCTGGAAGTTCTTCAGCACAGAGGATGTGTGGTAGCTGGGGTTGTTCATGGCGTCGCAGTCTGACAGCAGCACGTTAGCGTCCACGCCGATGGTGGCCTGGTTGCCCTTCGCGCCGGACAGGTAGGCGGTGGCGCTGGCGGCGGAGTCCGT